GGGGGGGGCGTACTCTTATGTTTTGCATGTCTTAGCGGTTAGACCATTGACCACGCGTCCTCGAGAGGACGGAGCATTGTTCCCACAGGACCGATCACCGATGGCCAATCGTTCCTTTCTACTTTGCCAAAGGTGGCTCAAAAATGTCTTCCCTAGTCTGTCTATCCTAACGATATCCCCTCCCGCCTTTTCAACCCACCTCCTATGCCCCAGTACAGCTACCGTCCTTTCCTCTCTGTTCCATGCCTCAAACATCTCCCTGTACGTTCCATCCACTTCTCCCAGCTCAGTCACGTACACTTCCCTCTCCTTCTTGTACAACGGACATTCCGCGACTACATGAACACGGTCTTCGCATTCGAAGCCGCAATCACATTTGAACTCGTCGTCTTCCTCGTCTACCGTCCTATGTCTTCGTCGACGTTCTCGAAGGCCTATGTCCCCGGTCCTGAATTTGACCTTAAGCTTTGTTCCTGCATCCATTGGTCCATGTAGGTAGTCCTTGAACCCTATTCCTTCCTTCAACATTCCGTACACTTCTAGACCCTCCTTATCCTTGGATTCTTTCCTCAGATTCTGTTCTTCTCTCTCGGCACAAGCAACAGATATCTTCTCCTTGAACCCCTGTAGACCCTCCGTTTCCAGCGTTTCATCTTCGTCGATGTCGAGCCCCTTCCATACGTCCTCTACAACCTTGACCCATTCCGTGGGTTGTCTACCCCTCTTTTTGTTTGCCCACTTCGCCTCCCATACAATTCTCGGCAACCTCTCCTCTCCCATCCCGCACATGCGATACTGCCAGGTCAGCTTCCTCGCGTCTCTTCCCGACCGTAGGGATTGGATCCCCAATTCTGCCCTCACGGCTGCATTACTTGTGCGCCTGGAGCATCCTAGGATGGTTTTCGCTGCTTTCATCTGCGCCGCCTCGAGTTCTTTCACTACCTTCTTATTTCCTTCCCATACTTCTCCGGCGTACTCTAGCGGCGGTACGATTACGCTCTTCAAAACCGTCAATTTGATGCGTGTATCGAGGTGCCGGTTTGCGAGTATTGGGTGCAGCTTCCCTGCTCGTGCTTTGCCCTTTTCCGCTACCTTGGACATGTGTGCATTCCACGAGCAGTCTTTTGCGATCTCTACTCCGAGGTATGTGTACTGGTCCACTACTGCAATCTCCTCGATCCCCCACTTCCATCTATGTTCTACTGGTTCCTCCTTGTTCTCGTTGCATACCATGACGGCACTCTTCTGAACGTTGGCAGACAATCTCCACTTATCAGTAAACTTCTTCGCCGCGTCAATTTGCAGTTGCAGTCCCTCAGGGGTGTCCGACATACCGACAAAATCATCCGCAAACAGCATTCCTGAAACCGACGTTTCCGTGTCCCCTACTTTTACTCCCTTCCGGACTGCCTCTACGACTTCCAACAGATCGTTGATGAACACCTGGAACAATGTTGGGGACAGCGTGCAACCTTGTGGGACCCCCTGCTCAATGTCGAAGAATTTTGACAGTTCTCCGTCTAGCATGACCGCGCTTTTCGTACACTCTGTCATCTTCTTCAGCACTCTCCACATTTTCCCCTTGATCCCGTATTTGGACAGTTGTTTCCACAACCCATTTCTCCATACGGTGTCGTATGCCTTTTTCACGTCCAGGAAGAAGCAGTACGTCGGCTTTCCCGCCCTCTTTCTACCTTGGATGATTCTCCCTACCGTGAACACGTGGTCTACGCACCCCCTCTTCTTGCGGAAACCTGCCTGGCCCTCACTAATGCTATGTTCCTTCTCCAATACTCCCACTATCCTATCGTTCAGCAGCTTACAGAACACTTTTCCTACTGTGTTCAACAGTGTGATCCCCCTGTAGTTTCCTGGGTCAGTCTTGTCTCCTTTCTTAAACAAGTTCACAACCACTCCTTCCCTCCATCTACTTGGCGTATACTCGTTTTTCCACACCCAATTGTATAGCAGTACCATCAGCTGGATCATCCCCTTCCCCCCAAACTTCATGAACTCGTTGACTATCCCATCCGCTCCTGCTGCTTTGTGGCACTTCAGCTTGTTCACACACGCCTCAACCTCGTCCTCAGTGAACTCCTTTTCTAATTCTACGTTCCCAACGTCTGTCTTCGATGTCTCTCCTTCTCTCTGGGCCCATGCGTCCACCTCCTTCTTAAACACTTGGTCAAAAGCTTCATTCTCCGAGGGCACTCCAAGTCTCTTGTAGTAGTGTCCTGCTAGAACTTCCCTTTTTCCCTTCCCACTGCTGACTAATCCACCGTTCACACCTCGCAAAGTTGCGACCCCTGTATCCCCCGCTTGCGCGTTTTTTTTTTCCATTCCACTAATCCCTTCCACATCTGCTTGACGTTCCGCTCCAGGCCTCCGTTGGCCTTCTGCACTACTTCATCCCAAGTACACTTTTTCTTCTTTTTCACTAGTCCCTTCACCTGTTTGGTGGAGGTGGTCAAACTACGGAAGTTTGACGTACGTAAATGTCGGAGAGCAAATGAAACGACATGTGCTTTGGGGTTGCAGGCTTGCTGAAACGGAAAATATATTCATTTTTTGTCTCATGTGCAGGGGACCAAGGGGCGGTTGTTTTCCGTGCTGCAGCTCGCTCATCGCCCTCGCAAGAGAGGGCGAAATCAAACACACGTACATCACATCTAACTGAAGGTGGTTTGGTGTACAGACACGGCCCGGAGCTGCATCAGCTCCACGACTACTGCATTACACTTGCGATGCCTCGCAACATGTATGTGCCGCCGGCGCGCGGTATGATGACTGTTCGACACGCGGTCCCGACTTCAAATTGTGAAATGCTGGGTTCAAACGGAACGCTTGATACAAACGCGGCGCCCGCTTTCAGCATCGCCGTCGCACACGCTCTCACTGCTGCTGCAGTGTTTCTCTCTCTCGTTCTCTTTCTTGTTCTTGCGCCTTCTCTCGTACGTATACTACCTACAGCAGTAGCTTGTCTATCCATCCGGCCAAAAATACAAGCACAACCGATAAACTGCTGCTGCTGCTGCTGCTGCTGCTGCTGCTGCTGCTGTGTTTCTCTCTCCCTCTCTCTCGTTCTCACGCATTATCTACCTACAGCAGTTGCCAAGATGCTCTCTGGCCAAAAAATAGCTCAAGCCATGAAATCTATTTCATCGAAATTCCTGTCCCCCATCACTACGACCACCTGGAAAGATACGTGACGGAGCTCGAAGCGATCTACCAGGACCGCGACATGCGGGGGCTGTACCAACACCTCAAGCGGTCAACGGGCCTCAGCGGGAGACAAGCTGGGGGGCAGCAGTTCGTTACAGACGAGAACGGCGTGCTACTCCGGAACAAGGATGCCATCCTCAAGCGGTGGCGGAGAT